TTACGATGTTACTAGTGGACATATGTCTTTACAATCACTTAGTTCCCTTCAAGCTTTATCATTTCAATATCACAGCTGAGATGAATCATGTTATTTGAACCTCTGCAGAGCACTATGTAGATAAGTATACACTGGCACAGGGTACCCGCCTTCTTTCTTTGTACCACCGCAGGAATGCCAGTTTGTTGTTTCATTGAACTGGCTGAATAGACCTCTGAAGTGTTTATGATATATACCGATTGCGTAATGCATTTTAGGATATGCATGGGGATGAAAGCATGGCGGATTTCTTTTGTTTATTTCAAAACTGAGTTGGCGAGAAGATAAAATTCGTATCTTCAAGCGACCGTGCAATATTCTGTTTATCATAATTATATTTGAAAGGAAAATGCTAAAAGAAATATTTTACACGCTTTTGAGGATAAGGCTGCGCGAACATAAGATCTCGAAACTAGAGAGTTACAGAAAGGCGATTAGACAATCATAGCAAAGTTGACTGCTCAATTGAAGCACGAACCCGTCTTGTTGAAAATGTAATGTACCACTGACTATACCACTTACCAGGGCAGGAAACTGACTATACTGTCTTGTCCTTCAATACAGAAAAATCATGTGCAATTGCAAAAATAAATATTGAGGAATCACCAAAAAAGAGGGTCTCAATGGGGTTAACCGTGAGCCGCGAAACGGCTGAAAAATTAGCCGTTAGTCGTGAAAATGAGAAAAAAATAGCCGTGAGGCGTGAATATTTTTTTATAGCGTGAGCCGTCATTCAGTTTTGTCCCTCATAAGGACAGTCAACTCCGATGCAGTCGCGCCCTTGTAATTTTTTTTGTAAATTTTTTCAGCTCTATTCGCAGAGTAGCTCATTTAGTGCATCGAATACCTTAATTGAGCGGGAGCCTGCGTCACGCTAAGTGTGGCAAGAAACTAAAACTGCTCGAAATAAAACGTTACAATATTGAATCGACATCTTTTTTTAGATCGCTAATAAAGTTATAGAAGATTTTTTAATTCTTAGATAGTATTTTTGGGATTTGGTTTTGTACATTTTNAATTTTGCCAGTCTGTTGAATTTTTCAAGTGGAACATGCATTCCTATTTCATATAAAAATATATATAAATTACAATACGCTTTCTATTATTTTTCCTTTTAATCAATCCTCAGTTTTTATTTTCCTCTGCATTCCTTTGCCATCATGCAGTCTGCTGCTTCWACAAAAGGCCCGTCACAGACCTTTCCATCTCTTCGTGGCTTGGGATTGTTACACATTCTTGAYCTCGTTGTGTAACCATGTCCACAGGTTCTGCTGCATCTTGCCCATGTGCCCCAGCGGCCCCAATGACCAGGAATAGTTACTGAGGCAGTAGATGATATAAAAAATATGGTAAGAAACATATAGTTAATCAACAAATAGCTGGGGGGTCATTCCGAAATTCCAAAGAAAATGCAGAATCAATATCTTGATGTATTTTGAAGTAATAAAGAAAAGAATTTGAGGATAGGACTGAAGAGTCGTTTTTCACGTACCATTCCGTTAAAAAGTTGTGTACAATCAAAAAAGTTTAAATACTGTATATATAAAAGCTTGTAATAAAGTAAACAAATTGAACACGAAAGAGAAACAAACTGGATGTGCGGAGATTATGAAACAATTTCTTTTTACGAACGCTGGATGGCATAATAGTGGAGATTTGGAGCTTGAATGGACGTAAGACATACTCAAAAGATCAGGTAAAGGATGATTACATTTGATATCACTGAAAGCTCTTACCGTTACATTCATCTTTCTCACATTTGCGCTTTTGAGTCTCGATCCCATGCTGGTCAGCGGTAGGACAACCCTTTTTAGACTTTTCAAGGCAAAACCTTTCTCTTTTCCGTTCACAACCAAGATCACATGGTCCCCAACCGGTCCACGAACTCCAACTCCCTGATTTAGCTGACAGTAACGGACAAAACGTTATTAATACAATGGCATGTACTCATAATCGTTCAAAGACAAAACACTGGATGTTTGATCTTGGGGAGTCATCCTCATAACATGAATAAAAATGTCGTGGGGCTATTAAGCAACTGTATTTTTAATACCTACGAGACAGTTGTAGCCATGTCGAAGAATGACTTAAGCAGTTTGTATGCGATGGTTGTAGGAAAAACTTGTGTCGCTGCTAATTCGGCATTTAGGGAAATCGCATGCTGCATGTCGCACGCGACAATCGATATCGTGTAAATCCACCTTAACTTACTTTTGCAATTGTACAAAGAGTTGATTTGTACAATGTCCACTTTACTTAGTGTCGGTCGGTATCTCCCGAATGCCAAGTTAGGATCTTTGATTGACAGCATTGTTGGCTTTCTGTTCTTGGAAAAGGCATAGTTCCCATAATGCATCACACTGTCAAAGTCGTACATTCCACCGACCATGTCCATTTGTCCGGCCTCGTACTTATTGAATTGTCCTCGCATGTCTAGGGAATTAAAAAGGATTCAACGCATCCGTTAAACAAAAAATAGTTATATCAATAAAGTTATATACAAGGTATAAGTAAGGGTTCTAGATTTTTTG